AAATGGGTCCACTGTGCATGATGAATAACTTTACAAGGGATATTTCAAGCAGCCCACATATAGTTTTCATTCATAGTGATTCTTCACTTTTCTTTACCATGTGTTGTTTTTGACCACTAGAGGAACTATGGAGCAATGTTTTGACAAGTTTGTGCTCATTTAGTTTTTAAGCTTATGAGCATACACACACTCAAGCCCTAAGATGGCACATTCTGTTGTCATTTTTAGGCTATTCTGATAATTGGCAGTAGGTGGTGGAAATACACTAATAACATCCTGTAATTGTGCAACCTTATAGTGACACATGGAGTAGAGGATGGTGGCTTAGAAAAAATGATTATTGATTCATTGAAAGTAAACATGCATGTACACGACACAATTGTTTGAAACACCTCGATGTGAACCAGCTACAGAACTAAAAAGTTGATCTTGCTTCTTTTCCATAAATATTATTGACATTGACGAATCTAAATGGTGCCATTCTGCACAGTAAAAACTTGGATATGTAAAGCCCATTTAGTTCATAAATCTTCTTTACTTTTCTTTAAAGGTACCTTGTGCGGTTTTTGACCACTAGACGGGCTATAGAGCAATGTTTTGACAAATGTTTTGCCCAAGAAATTCTGCAATGCACCAATAAAGACAGTGAAGAAAAAGACTGCTAGCAAGTAAACAATTATGTAAAAAATGCACAATTTTAAATATTTCAAAAACCAGCTTGTTTCACGAGGAAGGAAATATCTCAAGGAAACAAATCATTTTGTCAAGAAACATGATACGTGTAAACTTCACACCACAGGACACATTGAAGGAAAGTTAGGCTTTTGCTTTATTATACATTGTACTTAAAAGATACAGTGAAAGTGTGAGGGAAATATTTCAGGATGAAGGACTTATGCAAAGGAATTTACTCTCTATACCGGATGCACCAGGCTGATGTTGTCATCATCATCAAAGCTAAGCTAAGTAGTATTAGAATCTCACCATGTCAGAGGGGCCACATCCTCATGTGGAGCTTCTATTGGACAAATTTCTTAACCTTGGCTCATCTCACCAAACCATTGTTGTGTCTTATCTATCTGTCAGACAGTCAGAGTGTCCTCTTGCAGAGATATTATGTACCTTCCATCAGTTGTAATCTATCTGGTTTACTACTTTCACCTTGGGTCCTACGCATACTGCAGTGAAAGAAAGGGGAGTCTGTATTATAACACAAATATGTGGTGGTTTTGGATTATCTTCCTCTGACTTGACTGAAGTCATTGTTAAGTGAAAAAGAATAAAACTAAATTAACAAGATAGATCTAAACCATACTAAGCTCCACAATATGGAGCATTTTGTGAATTGTAAATGCAAATGCTTGTTTTGTAAAGCGTGTGAGGTATACTTGTTGAATTAGGAAGCACAAATGTAGCAAATCCATAAATGCTTATTGTTTTGTCAGTAATTCAGAATTTGAAGTAGATAACGTTATTATAAGTCAGACTGTGCAAAACAATTGTTTCAATTTTATACATCATTACTTCCTTCCCCTCTGAACATTACATGGATTTAAAGCAGCAACAAATAAATACTGTAGTACTTAACTGATCCCAAAATGAGTTGGTTCACATTTTTATAAAATGTCCTGCAGGAGGAGAATCCAAGTTTAAATAATAAACCTGTATTGAAGATGTTATATAGCACAACCCACTGTGTGTGTCCTGCTGTGATGTATTGAAAGCTTTGTCCACCTGTGTCCCCTCTTCCAGGACATCTTTTATCTGGGACCTGTCAGCGCGTGGACATCTCACTTTGAGCTGCCTTGAGTGCAAATCCCACTGCATTAACGTCTCATTATCCATTCTGCAATCTCTTTTCTGAATATCACTGCGAGTCGCTTCTATCAGGAGACTATCAAGGCGCTTCATGAAAACTAAACAAACAGGACATTATGTGGTAATGACGGCAGTTTGAGTTCTCGCTTTGGGCCAAGTGATCTGAATGATCTTACATGTGTGACTGTGTGAACATTACTGTGCTCATTACGTATGTTTAAGAGAGGGTTATTTGCTGTTGTAGCTGCAGGCTCAGTGTTTTCTGCGTAAAGACCGATTGTATGTTTATATGTGTGTGTGTGTAGTGCCGCAGCAGCTATAGCAGTTGAAGATCATTAATTATGGGGTGTTTCTCTACATTCCTCCAGGACTGATAGTATGCTGCAGAGATACTGGCTCATTGGAGTGAATGGCATTAGTACTTTGTTTGGCTTGTGCCCTGGGGTCTCGTTTCTAAGCCCTCTTTGTTTTAAGTGGCAGCCTTGCGTGAAGCGGCCGTACACTGAGCCTATTTCTCAATCCCTTATCCGCCCTTATGGGATTCACCAGCATATTGTATTCATCTCCAAATATAGAGAGAGAGGATCAAGAGCAAAAGAGTTCACCAACGATGCTTCATGAGTGGCCAGTTAGCATCTGTATAGGCGTTCATTAATCTGCAACATGAAGCTAGCAAAGTTGAGTGAGACAAATATGGTCAGTAACAGGGAGGTGACGAGTGGTTAAGGCTGCAATGCGCTCCAGATGCCCGATGCAGTGTAAGGAAGGAGTGTAGCCGTGCTCATTAGCATCGCAGCCTGGATCGAGGTAGTCTGCTGCCGGAGCTGAATCTGCCGAGAGAGGCCCGCACAGGAAGCTGCTCCTCCGACATGAAAGCCACGCGACACTCCTTGTGATTTCTGCCTGACTTTCTTTTTTTTTTTTTTTTTTTCTTTCCCTCACCAATTTGTTCTCCTCCTCCTAATCATATCCTGCATCCGCTCCCCAAATCATCTCATCCCAAACCTCTTCACAAATCATGCGCGAGTTGGAGAGGAATGAAACGCTGAACAGATGCGTAGTGTTGTCAGGGGTCGCTTACATGCAACGGCGCTTTCACAGCTCAGTGAAAGCGAGTCGTTTTGAGGCATATCACTCTTTCCTCCTTTCCGTTTAACCCCCCCATCCCTTACGTCTGTATGTTGGTGTAACTTAAATATCCTTCCTGCCTCTCGCTGTCTCGCTGTCGACTGTGTTGGAGAGAAGCCCCAGTGCAGGGAGAACAGCTGTGGGTAGTTTAAAGTCCTGAACTTGCACTTCAGTGTCTCTGAAAAATAGTGAATATGATTAACCTATATTGCAGTTTCTGGCTTTTTTATATCCCTAATTGCATACCATTAGAACATTATGCTAAAATGATTGTGCTAAAAGATGAGATTTGTTGAAAATGAAATATCCACCTCTTAAATATGGACACCCTCTCTCCTTGATCTACTCTCCAGATGGTCCAATGACGGCTGAGGATATTTTAGGTTAATATTTAAATGTGGGGAAATTATATCAACGTCACCTTCAGACAATGGTCTGAAAGATTATATTGTTATTATTATTCTATTTGACTCTGTGTTTTTCAACAATGATTACTGCTTGATTTCTTTTTCTTTTTTAGTGAACTGATTTGTGCTAGATTTTGAGATTAAACTCTTTTGGCTTGTGATTACACTAAGTCGTAAATTATTTCAGATATTTTCCCAGAGCAGAGAAAATATATTATGTAATGTATATATAATCGTATAAGGAGAGCTAATGAGACAAATTGCTACTAACTACTACATTGGTTACTTACAGTGGGTCATGTACTAGACACTGTATTTAAATTGTGTATTAGTGCACACAATGGCTAATTAGGCTAAGATGTAAAATTAAGTGTCATCTTGTCAATTTAAAGTGATATTGATCAGTTACTGCTTCTTACATCTTCACATCTACTTTCACCATGTTTCTGTGAAGATTATTTTTTAGTCTCTTACTTCAGGAAAATGTCTAGGTTATTCTGCACAGTCAGATATTGACTCAAAATGATAGAAATAGATGAAGAAAAGAAATTGTGTGGCCTATGACACCTCACTTCATAAGGAGGTTGCAGAAATCCACCTATAAAACACTCACTAAATTACACTAACTGTAAAATGTATTCTCATCCAAAAATGAATTGCAGGTCTGAAAAATCACCATGTCTGACTACAGTAGAAAAGAGTAAAGTTAAGTTCTGGTGTGTGATATCTGTTTCTGGGTCACAGCTCTGGTGTTTCGAAGATGCCGCAGTGCTGTGTCCCTTGCTGTTATTGTGGATCTGGATTGTTGGAAGGATTAAATATGAAGTAAAGGCTAACTGTAGCCTGCTATACTCAGCTTGGCAGCACAGGAGCAAGACCAAAATGTGTGTGACCCTGCTCAGCTGAAAAAAAACCCTTATATGAATTAAAGTCCTTTTTTGAATTGATGCCTCACTAAAAAAAAGGTGTGATGGTGAATAAATGCAGGTTCTGCCAGTGTTGTTTGAAAGTTTGGCCTCAGATATGGAGAGTGTGAGAGACACAGTGTTTATTGTGTTTGTTTATTGTTTAAACTGTGCATTTCCAACCAATCAAATTCCAGGATATGCTTACATTTCCGATTTCCTTAAGACTGAAATGATTAAATGACTTTGCTGCATAAAGCAAATAACAAATACATCTGATTAGTTTGCTCTGTTGTGTTCGGCGCAAACATGACCACAAAGCTTTGTGAGCCTTGTTTTAAATCATACTCGATATACCATCTGTTGTGCTAAACTACTCACTCCTCCACATACGACCAGAATGCTAACGCACTTTTTGCTTTTTTCCCCTCTGCAGCACCTCCGACTGTTCGCATTATACACTCAGGGCACGCCTGTAATGTGGAGGAGGAGCGGCACACCGAGAGAGTCTACACCATCCGAGACGGAGAAACCTTGGAGCTCACCTGTTTGGTTACGGGTCATCCTCGGCCACAAGTAAGTAACTCGCCATCCATTCATCCTTCAATCACGAAAAGAGAATCATGGTACAACATGCTAGTTATTCATCCCATCTCTCCTCCTGTCTCTCCGTCTGTGTGGCTTTTTATTTTAATTCTGTATTAACGTCACCGAGTGGCAGCAGCTTAAAAGTTTAATCCGTTAATTATTGATGGTTTATGTTGCATTGTGCACCTGCATGTTGATAATGAAAGCTTCCAAGTCTAATGAGAGTGCAGACGTGAAACAGCCCAAAACATCTGCCAAAACAAAACCTAATGAGTGAGAAACAGGCCACAGTGAAACGACTCTGGGTCATGTGAATGCACATGGGTCCTCAGCATCTGAAAAAGAGTTATTTTCTCTCAAAACTCTTTTATTCAATGTTCTGATGTGATCTAATTAAAAAACCTTCCACTTTTTTCTGCAGAAATCAGGCGTTTAATTTACTCTCTCTGTGTCTCTGTTTTATTGCTTTTTTCGCCCAAATCTGAGAAATGTGTGGATAAAAATCATGTTAATAACTGGAGGCGAGCAGCAGAAACAAGATCCCATCTATTTGCTACAACAAAATGCCAACGAACGTGATCTATGCAGGTATAAATGTCAGCTCTGCCACACATAACCTGACCATCACATTTCGTTCTCGTATTAATCTGGGCAAGATTTGCACTAACCTTTCTGACTTTTATCGAATGTTGTTTCCAATTTGCTGGATAACACAAATGACAAGGAACTTCAGCACTATCTCTGTACAGGGCTGAGCTCATTTACATTCATTAATATAATTCCCCCTTTGATCGATAAACAGAGCCATTAGTTTGTACACTTCCCCTCTGGACGTCAACGCAAAAGAACGTATTGATTTTTATATTTCTGTTGAAAAGGTGAGACCTCTTAAATTAGCGACAGGTTCTGAAACTCCGTTCATCTCCTTCTGTCGTCAGGGTGGAGGTTGTGTCGGGGGGGCATCTTTGCACTCATTATATGTCTTTCCTCTTAATTAGAATTTCTGAAGAACGGCAGAGTGAGGGGAGGAAAGGGTGGAGGGCATGGATGGAGTGGGAGATCAAAAGCAATGCATGGCTGTGACAGGAGAGGAAGGATCTCCTTTGAAACCGAGTCATTATGAGACTCACGCAGATCCCTTGGCACAGCGAGTCTCGGCTGTGTCTCTCCGAACTTTGGAATATGTCAGCTTTGTCCCCCTCTGGTCGTCTCTTGGGGCCGCGGGTGGCACACGCTCACTCTGAGGAGGTTATCTGGGGTGGCAGTGGACCTAAGGCTGGCTTTGTGATGTCAGTGGAAAAACACAAGGGTACGCGACCTCATCTGGAAAAAGACTCAAGTTAATACAGCGATAAAAGCTCATCCTTTCATTAGAATTAAATATTAATCCCTAGAACATGTTCGGAGTCTGTCTTTGCCCCAAGTTTCCACATTTTAATTGAGTCGAGTTTCTTTTTCTTTCAAGTGAATATGTGGGAAGAAAAAAAATCAATCTGTTCTCTTTGCAAAGGTTGCAGTGCACTTTTCACTGTGTCCTGTCCTGATTAATGGGGCATACGTTTGGTTTTACAATTGGTGGGGCGTTTTATTAATCAGACAACCAATATGGAGAGTTATCTGTGTACACACTTTTCTATTTAGACTACACATCGATACATAGACTCACAGACCTCTATTCTGCAAAACATTTGTTGTATTTGCTACAACAAGAGTTGTATATACAACCTGGGAGAAGAGCAAATCAAGCTCTTCAGCAAGTCACTTTATAGATATGTAATAGATTTGTATGTGATAATTAGATTGTTTGATTTATTTTTATTCCCAAACCTTATGTTTGTTCTCTGCACTTTTTGCTTTGAGCACTTTCACCCACAATAAGACAGTTAACATGGGTAGACACACACTTTTTAAACGTACAAGTCCCTGTTACTAGATCTGAACATTATTTGGATCTGCACCAAACTGTGAACACTTCAGTCACATAAATATGCAAGTTTTCAAGATCAATGTATTGTGCACTGGGAAGCCTGTGAAAATCTGTCTAGTCTAACAAAAGATTCAAAAGAATCGGTTCTGTAGTTGTTTCATAATAACATAGTAACAGGAATGGAAAGATAATTTCCTTGGCGACGGTAACACATACAAACTAAAAGTGCACAAGGTGTTTGACGATATATTGTCATATCCTGGTTTCTGCATATCCTGATTTACATTCTAAAAAGAACATGAATTAGCATATTAAATTTAGTTTCAAGATGATTTTTGCCCAACATCAGATGGAAACGACACCCCTCCAAACCTAAGGGAAAATATCCTTCTATGGAGCTGGAGGCAGCTTTATATCTCTATGCTGAGAGCTTTGCATAGGTGCATACAAATATATCCCTTGTATCTGCTGATGCATGGAATTGTTTCAAAAACCAGACAGGGTAAATTATTTCTATCCGAAAAACTCACAAATTAACAAATTCTTCAATTTTACCAAAAACCATCAAAAAGCATCATCGACACCTGAAGCTCCACAGGTTAGGAGCTGCCTGACCTGCCAATACCAATGAAGACGAGGAAGTGGTCATCACGCTCGAGGAGGTTCATTAACCTCTTCTCTCTGTATCGAATCTGATGAACAGCGTGATGAGATTTATGCTCTCTCTTCAAGGAGGTGAATTTAAAGCTGCATTTATTGACCGCTTTATTTTTTTGGCCACTTTGACTTCATTTTTTGGCCCTAAACATCACTCTATGTTGGATCATGCAGAGAGAGGTTTCTGCTACTTAGCCTGAGCTTATTGATATAAATGAATCGTGGAAAATAACAGACACCCATATTGTGTTTAATTCCAAAAGCACCATGATCCTCACCCTCAAAAAAGATCATTACATTGAGTCAATTAATAATTGATTATTTAACTACTACCATCATGATGGAGGTCAGTACAGACTCATCCAGCTGTTTAAATCAGTGCACATCAATGATTAGTTTCTACATTACTAAATGCGAACTCACTTCACAGTACTATGCACATGACCAGCCAGTGGAGTCGAAAGCAGGAGTCACAGTGTCTGCACCATTACACAGTACACAATAAAGAGTGTATTACACATCTATCTGTGTTGTCCAAGGGCCTGTTATGGTGTTGCTGGTCCAGACCCATGTTTCTTAAAATTATGTTTATTTATTGGTCCATCCTACAAAGGATTGTTTATATCCTATAATCCTTTAGTTTGTAAAAAATAATTTAACATTTTTCAGGAACTGTATGTTTAATTTTTCGATTTTCTTGACATTGTCAATCTTCGAGGGTGTTTTTCTCAGGACCTGGAACATGCTAAAAAGGTGTTTTTGTTTCCAGAAAATCGACACTGGGTTTGGCTCTTATCACCAAAAGCTCTCTTAACTTCTTTGTCGATGTCTTCTTTGCGTATAGCTCTGCCTATTCATTCGAGTTGTGCTTCCTTTTGTTTTTTCAGTGTTGCTTCTATTGCATGTTAAAAACATCATCAACACTCTGACTCACTCAGAGTGAATCCTGCGGAGGATCTCCTGCTGATTTGGACATTCTCCAGAGTTTTTACTAGGGGGCTGCCAGGAGAAACTCCAGTGAAGGTTCTGAGGCGCTCACTCTGACATGTGCCTTGGAGAATGCCTGGAGATTATCTGGAGCATGACTGAAAGCAGCTATAGAAAAGCAAGGTCTCTCTCAAAACTGCTACTAAATGGAAAATGTAAGCTAGGCACAGGTTGATGTGTGGAATCAGGAGTGTGAAGCGCAGTGTGTATTTGATGATCTTTAAATTGCTTTTCTTAAAATACCTGACCTCTATATCACCATTGAAGCCTGAGGGTTGCTAGATTATAAGGTCAGGACTCCCCTTTTTTGTGCTGTTTTTTTTTTTTTTTTTTTTAAATAAATGGGTGACTAAAGGGAGCCGTCACACTACTCGAATGTAAACGGCTGAAATTCTGCATGAGCAAATCACAAAATGACTTTTCCTCATCACTGTCCAGATTTCATTCACTCTCCCTGACTTTGGGAAGACTCGCTCCCCTGGTATAATGGACAGGGGTGGTATTGAGCCAAGTCCAACGTCAGCACCACAAATGACCAACCACAGGGTAAATGGGGCAGCAGTTGGCAATTTCTCCACCATTTAGTCCTTCAAATGTCCATCAATATGCACACTGCTAAAATTACTTAGACGCCCATCAGGCCTTCCTACTGATGGAGTCTCTGGATGGTGTCCAACCAGGCAGCAGCCTCCTCACGGTGGAGATTTTCTAACCCCCCTCCCCAGCAGAGGCTTTCTAACAATAAATTCCTTTATGCTTCCAATCACACACACACATACAATGACACACAACAAGCACACTAGTGGCGGCAGCAACACTTGTCTGCCTTCCCATTTAATTGTCAAATAAATATATGTCCCTGTCAGTCAACCGCACGCCGTATAATATGTGCTTTTCCCCTGCTGCCCCGTGGGTTTGGCATTTGAAGGCGTTACTATGGGCTGTGCAAGAAGACTGGGACTGTTGGCATCTGGCAGGCTTGAGGGGGCGATGGAGTAGAATTCTCATAGATGTGTTGTGCAGAGGTCACTAGAAGGATTTGTGGGATACAGATCTCTGAGGAGGAGGAGAAGGAGAAAACAAAGTATTAGTTGTGTCCAGTGGTTTCCCTCACTCTGATGACCTAGTGATGACATTGGATGAAAAGTTAAGGAAACAAGAAAGTTACTTCAATCGATCCTGTGGGGAATATGAACGTCTCAAACAAATGTTGCGGCAATCTGTTAGTCAGACAAAGAGAGAAGTTAAAAGATGTCAGGCTGCTGGATTTCCACCTCACTTTTTTGGACAGATTATAGATTAAAGGATTACTTGATTAAGAGGAAAATGAAAACCTCTCCCTGCTCCATGTCTTATAAAAGCTCTCTCTCTACTTCACTCTATCTCTCTATCATTCTCTCTCATCTCCCTCCAGCAA